TATTGTCATTTTGTATTTAACATTGTCATGTTCTATTTAACATTATCATTTTTTATTTAACATTGTCATGTTCTATTTAATATTGTCATTTTTTATTTGACATTGTCATGTTTTATTTAATATTGTCATTTTCTGTTTAACATTGTCATGTTCTATTTAACATTGTCATTTTTTATTTAACATTGTCATGTTTTATTTAACATTATCATTTTCTATTTAACATTGTCATGTTCTATTTAACATTGCCACTTTTTATTTAACATTGTCATGTTCTATTTAATATTGTCATTTTCTGTTTAACATTGTCATGTTCTATTTAACATTATCATTTTTTATTTAACATTGTCATGTTCTATTTAATATTGTCATTTTTTATTTAACATTGTCATATTCTATTTAATATTACCATTTTTTATTTAACATTGTCATGTTCTATTTAATATTGTCATTTTTTATTTAACATTGTCATATTCTATTTAATATTACCATTTTTTATTTAACATTGTCATGTTCTATTTAACATTGTCATTTTTTATTTAACATTGTCATGTTCCATTTAACATTATCATTTTTTATTTAACATTGTCATGTTCTATTTAACATTGTCATTTTCTATTTAACATTCTCATATTCTACATAACATTTACCATCCTCATCATCAAACTACCCCAACAAAAATCCCAAACACCTCAAATTCTTTCTTTCTCCTCACCTAGTCTCATCCTCTTCGTCCTCCCCAGTCTCCTTCTCCCCACCAACTCCCAAGATGCTCTTCGACTCTCCAGAAACCTCCACATCCACAAACTTAGACGTAGTAGGTTTTATAATTTCATAAATATCCTGCACCACGCTATCAATGCTTGGTTTCTTATCTTCCTCCCCATCTGATTGATGTTCCCCAGAACCAGAGCTCTTTGTGGTAACTTCTAAGTTTACCTCCTTGATAAACGAAGTTTCTACACCCAGAGAGGAAACCGTCGGTTCGTGATTTTCTTCAGGAACTTCTTGATTCGCCTCTTCGGCGAGATGCACCTCCTCCGACGCCTCGTAATTCGATTCTGGCGTCGCGTAGTTCACTTCCGGTGTTTCCTGGTTGATCTCCGGCGATTCCTGGTGACTGGCGCTGTCAATCGATTCCTCCGAAGCGTTGTTTATTGACTCTTCATCGATTTCGCTTCTTGTGGAGATTTCAATATCAATCAGTGTTTCGTTTGCTGCTGATGGTGCGTCAATTTTTATGTTCTCGTGTGGAGTTGTACTTTCGTCGTCTGGGACGGTGGACTGAGTTTGTGCAACTGGTTGACTGGTTGTGGATGTTGAAGACGTGGAGGCTTCCGAAGTTTCTTCAGATTGGATGAGTTTTAGTTGCTCTACTGCGTGAAATATTACCTGTCGACGAAATTATAAATTAATTTTTGTTAATAAGTAATTTTGTTTAATTGTAGTTAGTAGGTAGTGGTAGGTAGTTAGTAGATGGGTAGTTTAATTGTAGGTAGTGGGTAGCTAGTACGTACTGGGATGATTAGGTGGGATTCGAGGTGGTACTGATTCTGGAAGTTGGGACTTGGGGAGTTAGGACGTTGGCAGCTTGGGATTTTAGGAATTTACGATCTCAGCAATTTGGGACCTTGAGAGTTTGGGGCTTTGGGAAATTTAGGACATTAGGAGTTTGGAACCTTGAGGAGTTGGGGTCGTGGGAGTTTGGAACCTTGAGAATTTGGGACCTTGAGAGTTTGGGGCTTTGGGAAATTTAGGACCTTAGGAGTTTGGAACCTTGAGGAGTTGGGGTCGTGGGAGTTTGGAACCTTGAGAATTTGGGACCTTGAGGAGTTGGGGTGGTGGAAATTTGGAATCTTGAGAATTTGGGACCTTGAGGAGTTGGGGTGGTGGAAATTTGGAACCTTGAGGAGTTGGGGTGATGGGAGTTTGGAATCTTGAGAATTTGGGACCTTGAGGAGTTTGGGTGGGTGGAAATTTGGAACCTTGAGAAGTTGGGGTGGTGGGACTTTGGAATCTTGAGAATTTGGAACCTTGAGGAGTTGGGGTGGGTGGAAATTTGGAACCTTGAGGAGTTGGGATGATGGGAGCTTGGAACCTTGAGAATTTGAGACCTTGGGAAATTTAGGGCCTTAGGAATTTGGAAGCTTGAGGAGTTGGGGTGGTGGAAATTTGGAACCTTGAGAATTTGGGACTTTGGGAAATTGAGGACCTTAGGAATTTGGAACCTTGAGATTTTGGGACCTTGGGAAATTTAGGACCTTAGAAATTTGGAACCTTGAGAACTTGGTGTGATGGGAATTTGGAACTTTGGAAAATTAGAACGTTAGGAATTTAGAACGATTCATACTTGGAACCTTGAGAATTCATTACGGTGGGGTTTTAAGATCTTGAGAACTTAGGACATTGTACCTTAAGACCTCAGGCATTCAGAACATTAGAAATTTAGAACCTTGAGGCTATGTTCCCCAGATAACATTTTACTGCACTTACCAAATTCCTGAATTCCTAAATTCCTAACTTCCCAGCTTCCAAAATTCTCAAATTATCAAAATCACAATACACTATCTCACGCTTCCACACATCAATTTCCAATAAATCTAACGTAACACTTACCTGCATGGCAGCCGGAAGATACGAGTCCGAGTACACGGGCTTCGAAAACGCCGGGGAATTTCTAATGATCCCAGCGATCGCCTGGAGCAAGGAATATTAATTAATGGTTACGTCAATCTACGGTCAGATTATTCAAATAAATGGAATTGTTAGTGGTCCAAGTTCTTCTCCATTAGTACGATGCTATAAAACACGGGAAGAATGACCGTAAAAACGACTTTGAATGACGGTTCGAAGTAGAACTAACCCGGTGTCAAGTTCAGAGGATAATTAAGTCGTTCTTGGAAAAGTTGGGGAAATCGTGTCCCATGGTTCTTTGAAGAAGAAAGTTGACGGGAGGAGTTTGAACGGACGTAATTATTGTTAAACTGAAACTTCTGCATTGGAATATTGTTATAAGAGATATACTTCCATACTATTATAGTAATATAATAGTGTATACTATAGTTCGACTACTATACTTTATTGTAATAGTACCATATTATTACATTACTGTACTACTATAATATTTCACTACTGCATCACTATATTTTTATATTGTTAGACTGCTGGACTATTAGACTAGTAGACTAGTAGACTACTAGACTACTAGACTATTAGACTACTATACTAGAAGACTAATAGATTACTAGACTAGTGGACTAGTATACTAGAAGACTACTATACTAGTAGACTAATAGACTACTAGACTAGTGGACTAATAGACTACTAGACTAGTGGACTACTATACTAGAAGACTACTAGACTAATAGACTACTAGACTAGTGGACTACTATACTAGAAGACTACTAGACTAATAGACTACTATACTTGTAGACTACTAGACTACTATACTAGAAGACTACTAGACTATTAGACTACTATACTTGTAGACTACGAGACTACTATACTAGAAGACTAATAGACTACTAGACTACTATACTAGAAGACTAATAGACTATTAGACTACTATACTAGTAGACTACTAGACTCCTATACTACTATACTACTATACCACTATACTACTATTCTGCTATACTACTATACGACTATACTACTATTCTGCTAACTACTATACTACTACGCTACTATACTACTATACTACTATACTAATATACTACTATTCTACTATACTACTATACGACTATACTACTATTCTGCTATACTACTATACTACTACGCTACCATACTACTATACCACTATATTACTAAACAGCTATACTCCTATATTCATGTTTTGCTGTACTCCCACATTACTACACTACTACACTACTATGGTATTATAGTGCTGCACTACTTTTCTACTGCATTCATGCATTACTACACTCCCATATTACTATACTATTACACTACCATACCACTACATCCTTGTACTACTATAATACCATACTGCTGCACTATTATACTACTATATTATACATTGCACTATTATACTATACAGTTATACTCCCATATTCCTCTACTACTATGCTACCATACTATTCTCCTACTACTATCCTACCATACGTCACTATACTTCTCCACCCACGAACAACATAACTTACCTGTCTAAACAGAAGAACAACAACAAAACCGTAAACCACCTTCATATTTCCCCACCAAAATGTCCTCACTATTCAAAAAAACTACCCAGTAATTACACACAAGAAATTCGAAAGAAAGATTTCAAAGTAAGCGCCAGCTCGATCCCATTATCGACCCGCAGTCCTCAAAGCGCGATCAGACTGCGCCAGACTGTCGTCGCGAATCGCAAGTAGCGTCGGAGGTCGTCTGGGGAAAAAAAGCACAGGGTCCTCGGATTCCTCTATTTTCCTCGTCCGGATCAAGGTTCGCGGTCGAGCGTCGCCACGAGACTGGTCTCGAAAAGGCTCGTAACGGTTCCAGCTCGTCCTCGGTGGCTCGCACACCTATATCATGCTCGATCGCACACGCGAACGATCGCGGTTCGCAGGAGTGTTTCGACGATCGCTCTAGACGAGGAAGAACGAGTCGTAGCCGGCCATCGTGACACTTAAATTAAGTTGCGATCGGTATGCATCGTACGGTTCGACGTACGTGGACAACCGACCGCTATGCGAGCTCGTTCCGCGAACTTCTTGGTTTTTGTAGACGCTTTTGGTGATGCTTTGTGGGGTTTGGTGGGGAGGGAGAGGTTGGTTTGGGAATTTTGGGATTTGGGGAATTAGGAGAGGTGGAGGGAGGGAATGAGGGACGGGGAGTTGGAGGTGTGGGAAGTTGGAGATATGGGCATTTGGAGATTTGGAGATTTGGAGATTTAGGGATTTGGAGATTTAGGGATTTGGAGATTTAGGGATTTGGAGATTTAGGGATTTGGAGATTTGGGGATTTGGAGATTTGGAGATTTAAGGATTTGGAGATTTAGGGGTTGGGAGATTTAGGGGTTGGGAGATTTAGGGATTTGGAGATTTGGGTAGTTGGAGATTTAGGGATTTGGAGATTTAGGGATTTGGAGATTTGGGGATTTGGAGATTTAGGGATTTGGAGATTTAGGGATTTGGAGATTTAGGGATTTGGAGATTTAGGGATTTGGAGATTTAGGGATTTGGAGATTTAGGGATTTGGAGATTTAGGGATTTGGAGATTTAGGGATTTGGAGATTTAGGGATTTGGAGATTTAGGGATTTGGAGATTTAGGGATTTGGAGATTTAGGGATTTGGAGATTTAGGGATTTGGAGATTTAGGGATTTGGAGATTTAGGGATTTGGAGATTTAGGGATTTGGAGATTTAGGGATTTGGAGATTTAGGGATTTGGAGATTTAGGGATTTGGAGATTTAGGGATTTGGAGATTTAGGGATTTGGAGATTTAGGGATTTGGAGATTTAGGGATTTGGAGATTTAGGGATTTGGAGATTTAGGGATTTGGAGATTTAGGGATTTGGAGATTTAGGGATTTGGAGATTTAGGGATTTGGAGATTTAGGGATTTGGAGATTTAGGGATTTGGAGATTTAGGGATTTGGAGATTTAGGGATTTGGAGATTTAGGGATTTGGAGATTTAGGGATTTGGAGATTTAGGGATTTGGAGATTTAGGGATTTGGAGATTTAGGGATTTGGAGATTTAGGGATTTGGAGATTTAGGGATTTGGAGATTTAGGGATTTGGAGATTTAGGGATTTGGAGATTTAGGGATTTGGAGATTTAGGGATTTGGAGATTTAGGGATTTGGATATTTGGAGATTTGGAGAGTTAGGGATTTGGAGATTTAGCAATTTAGAGATTTAGGGATTTGGAGATATAGGCACTTGGAGATTTAGGTAGTTGGAGATTTAGGGATTTGGAGATTTGGAGATTTGGGGATTTGGAGGTTTAGGGATTTGGAGATTTGGAGATTTAGCAATTTAGAGATTTAGGGATTTGGAGATTTGGAGAGTTAGGGATTTGGAGATTTAGCAATTTAGAGATTTAGGGATTTGGAGATATAGGCACTTGGAGATTTAGGTAGTTGGAGATTTAGGGATTTGGAGATTTGGAGATTTGGAGAGTTAGGGATTTGGAGATTTGGAGATTTAGCAATTTAGAGATTTAGGGATTTGGAGATATAGGAACTTGGAGATATAGACATGCGGAGATTTAGGTAGTTGGAGATTTAGAAATTTAGAGATTCAGATATTTGGAGATTTAGAGATTTGGAGATATAGGCATTCGGAGATTTTTGGATTTAGAGATATAGGCATTTGGAGATATACACATTTGGAGATGTAAGCATTTTGAAATACAGACACTTGGAAACACAAACACTTGAAGATATACGCATTTGGAGATTTAGTTCAAAATAAATGACCAACAATTGACCAGCAAATGTTGAATGATTAAATATTAAAATACTGAGTTACATAATTAAAAATTGAGACAAATCAAGTATAAAATAAAATGATCAAAAAATAGAATAAGGAGTTTACAATAGAATGTCATTATAACATATAGTTAATCGAAGACACGTGTTGAGAACCGGTTGGCATTTCTCCCGATTCCGTTCTATCCATAAGCGAATCTCCTTGAAGACCCTTGTCTCGTTCTTTTTCACTCGAAATCCTCTGTCACGGCCTTGTACAAGGTCGCAGTCTTCCGAGAACGAAAGTACAGATCACTGGCTACCGAATTCGTTTTCTCTGATTCACTTTCCGTACAATCGGTACTGTTGTATGCGAACATCGGAGTGGTGGTAAAGGTAAACGAGGCGTATATGCTGAATGCATGCGCATAAATGGATCAAGTACGTATGCAGATGCAGCAAATGATATCGGTAGCAATAGTGGTGACATTAGTAATAGCAATTGTGGCTTTAATAATAGCAGTAATAGTGACAGTAGGAAATTTAAATGGTAATCAACATATTTTGGAGAATACGGGAATTATTGTTGAAATTTTTAAGCGTGAAACTAGATGGTATGCAAAATATTTTAGTATGGTTATTTGAGGATTTGTCAGATTTTCATGGTTCATAGATTCGTAATACATAATCCTTCATTTTTGTGGTTCATAATTCAATTTACTGTCATCTATTTCAATTTTTAATAATTCAATATTTGTTACAATTTTTAGTAATTTATTTTAATACATAAACTTTCATTTTTATGATTAATAATTTAATTCAATGTGCAATTATTTATTACAGATTTTAATAATTGTCTCTGTAATAAACTCATTTCAATTTCTAACAATAAATTTCACTTCTGAACATGTATACCATAAAAATGTATAAACGATGAGGTAATAACCTCCATGAAGAAGATGTACCATCCTTTTCAACGTCGAAGCAAAATGTATACATAATTTGGCAACGCGCTCTTATCAAGCATGAGGGTACCACCATTCGATAAGAAGATGTGTACGAAATGCTATATATTGAATGCTCGCGGTGAGAGCACCGTTTACGTGCATTTCGATTATTGCTTTTCGTGGAAGCTCCGCGCAGACGAGTTCTATTCTGGGAATAAAGAGATTTTCGAAAACCATGTTCTGCAGAGTTTCAGTGTTCATCCTCGCGGTAACAGCGCTATTTAGAATTTTATTATACAATCTAAGATATTTTTATATTTCTTACATACTTGTCGAACGCTAAATATTTAGATTGTTGGGGTGTACGCGCAGCCCATCGATCAATCGATCGAGTCGGTCAACAGAGTCGATCGTGCGGCGCAGATAGAAGATGAGGATCCTTCTTCCACTTTGACGATTCAGATTGTGAGTACCAACTTACACAATACTTAAACAATGTACACAATAAACACCTTTAATATTATATATTAAGTGCATATAAAATCTGCATTATTTTACAAACATGTAATGTGACATCACATACATAAAACATGTAATTCAATCAAGAAAGTAGGTTTACTAAGAATTTTTTAATGAAACTTCCAAAAACCGTCCACATTTTTATTTTATCTCATGTACTCACTTTTATCCATTCAACAAGGTAAATATATATTGCAGTCCATTTTCTTCAAAAGCTTTGAAACTACTGTTAACACTAAAACTACCAAGCCGGTCAAACGACCGCCACAAGTTTCTCATTAAAAGGTATACATTTTGTTGAAGTACATTTCTTGAAATCAGAATTGATTTTCATCAAGACAAAGAATAAATGTGTGTACTAATTTATGTTTCATCGTTTGTTTATTTAATTTTCAACTTCATTTTTAATTTCAAATTAAGTACGCATTGTATGCCGGTAGGTTTAGTGTTAAAGTCCTTGCAAAAATTTTAAATCGCATCTTTGCACCAAACTACAATTTCGTCACAAAGATAAAACATAAATTCCCCACAATTTACAGACCGACGGACCCACCACCATGAAACCAGGCTTCCTCGCTTGGCTGCTAACGCCGTTGGCTCAGAGCCTGATCAACCCCCAATCTCTGCTGCAAAATGGCGTGACCCAACTGAAAGAAACTCTGAATAATCTTGGCTTCAGGACTAGCGAGAATATTAAAGCCAAACAACTGACCATTTCGGATAATTTGCTGCATGCTGCGGATGTAGACGAGCCAGAATTCGACGCTAACAGATTGGAACCTACGGGACCGGACAGTGCTTGGCTGCAGGAGAAGCGTAGCCCGTTCACGGATGGTGGATATAGGAAGTAGGGATGTGTTTGAGAGTTTCGGAAAGTTGGGAAGCTGGGGAAGGTTGGAAAGCTCGGGAATGGGATTTAGGGATTTGGGTAGTTGAAGAGGGAAATTTGGAGATTTGGGGGTTGGAAATTTGGGAGAGTGGAAACTTGGGGGAGTGGAAATTTGGGGGCTTGGAAATTTGGGAGAGTGGAAATTTGGGGGCTTGAAAATTTGGGGGAGTGGAAATTTGGGACATTACACATTTTGGGGGAGTGGAAATTTGGAGGCTTGGAAATTTGGGGGAGTGAAAATTTGAAACCTTGCAAATTTGGGGGAGTGGAAATTTGAAGGCTTGGAAATTTGGGGGCTTGGAAATTTGGGGGAGTGGAAATTTGGGACATTGCAAATTTTGGGGAAGTGGAAATTTGGGGGCTTGGAAATTTGGAACATTGCAAATTTGGGGGCTTGAAAATTTGGGGGAGTGGAAATTTGGGACATTACACATTTTGGGGGAGTGGAAATTTGGAGGCTTGGAAATTTGGGGGAGTGAAAATTTGAAACCTTGCAAATTTGGGGGAGTGGAAATTTGAAGGCTTGGAAATTTGGGGGCTTGGAAATTTGGGAGAGTGGAAATTTGGGGGCTTGGAAATTTAGAGGAGTGGAAATTTGGGGGCTTGAAAATTTGGGGGAGTGGAAATTTGGGACATTACACATTTTGGGGGAGTGGAAATTTGGAGGCTTGGAAATTTGGGGCAAATTTTGGGGGAGTGGAAATTTGGGGGCTTGGAAATTTGGAACATTGCAAATTTGGGGGCTTGGAAATTTGGGAGAGTGGAAATTTGGGGGCTTGAAAATTTAGGGGAGTGGAAATTTGGGGGCTTGGAAATTTGGGGGCTTGGAAATTTGGAATCTTGCAAATTTGGGGGAGTGGAAATTTGAAACCTTGCAAATTTGGGAGAGTGAAAATTTGGAACCTTGCAAATTTGGGGGGTTGGAAATTTGGAACCTTGCAAATTTGGGAGAGTGAAAATGTGGAACCTTGCAAATTTGGGGGCTTAGAAATTTGGTCCATTGCAAATTTGGCGGTGTAAAAATTTGAAATTGCAAAAATAGAAACTAGAAAGAAGCTAATAAATAAACTGAAATTCAAGAAATAACCGAGTGTTGTTCTGTAGCAATAAATAAACTAAACGAGCACATAATGACCGAAATTAATTGAAACTGTTGTACCTATTATCTAAAGACGCCCGAAAGAGGGGAATAAACAGACAGATTGAAGGCGGAGAAAGAAAGAAGAGATATAGAGCGCAAATAAAGTAAGCTGATAATTCTCTTGGAACGTGTGAGATAAAAGTGGAAATACTCTCGCTTGTGTCTGTTAGGTTTAGATGGAGACCCATGAGAAAGCTTTCAATAAATAAGCAGCTTTCGAGCTGGCGAAGAAATGCTTTTCCATTCTATATAGCGTTTTTTGATCACACTCCATTATACAAACAATAACCATAAATCTTGCAAAATATTCGCCATTTTGAAAACAATTCAATGACGTTTTAAAATTGTATTTATTCTCGGTGAAAAAGAATGGTGTTCAAACGCGATAAATAAAATATCAGTTTAATCATTCACAATTTTCGTATCTATTTTCCACAAAGCTTTTGATTTAAAAAACAATATGTTTACGGTCCTCTTTGTTCGCCCATTGCGAGTTTTCAATTCCCTTGTTTTGAGGTTGGCAGCGCTGAAATGACATTTAATTACTGCGCAAATATATCGTGTGGGTGTGTTGGTCCGTGGTTATTCACGAGCGCAAAAAGGAAAAGCTTAAACCAATCAGAGATTCGTTTACTCGTATGGTTTAATTTTTTATTGACGGAGGATTCGTTGACTCGAATAACTTGACGTTTAATAGTAAAAAATGCTAATAGGTGGGCGATATGTTGCGAGACGATATGAAACGTAATTTATTATATGGAGATTCAATGACGTCAGGTTATGAATATTGTCAATATTTTAGATATGAAATGTAGAGGATGTATGGCGTGTGGGATATGGCGATATAACGCGAGGTATGTATAATGTGTAGATTATACAATGTGTGAGAAATGTAACGTGAGTATTATACAGGGATAAGGTTTTACAGCGTGTGATGATAAATCGCAAATTTCCAAAACGGCGATATAATGCAAGGGATATATAACGTGTAAAATATACAATGTGTGAGAAATATAACATGTGTATTACACAGGGATAAGGTTTTACAGCGTGTGATGATACGTCACGAATTTTCAAAACGGCGATATAGCGCGAGGGATGTATAACGTGTAGAATATACAATGTGTGAGAAATATAACGCGTGTATTATACAGGGATAAGGTTTTACAACGTGTAGTGATGTGTCGAAAATTTCCAAAACGGCGATATATCGCGAGGGATATATAACGTGTAAAATATACAACATGTGAGAAGCATAACGTGTGTTTTATATAGCGACAAGGTTTTATAACACATAGCGATACGTTGCAAATTTTCAAAACGGCGATATAGTGCGAGGGTAATATTACGTGTAGAATATACAATGTGTGAGAAATATAACGTGTGTATTATACAGAGATAAGGTTTTACAGCGTGTGCTGATACGACGCAAATTTCCAAAATGGCGATATAGTGCGAGGGATATATTACATATAGAATATACAAAGTGTGAGAAGTATAACGTGTGTATTGTACAGCGACAATGTTATATAACACATAGCGTTACGTCATAAATTTCCAAAACGGCGATATAACACGAGGAATATTCTACACGTGGAATGTAATGCGTGAGGAGATATATCGTGTAGAATATGCTTACGAAGTGATATTATGAGTGTAATATACTGTAAATTGTGATATCACAAGGATATACGGGTGGCAATATAGCGCGAGGATATACCACGTGTCACATATACAACGCGTAGAACATGTTACGCATGGAATATGCAACGTGTAACATAATACATAGAATATACAACTCGCGGCAATATAATGCGAGGCAATCTCATTATACAAAACATACAGTACACGTCAGACGATATAAACTTTGCAACGTGTGGGATGTAGAACGCGTGGGATATACTACACGTGGCTATATAATGCGTGATAATGATTCAACTCATTGAATGTTCAGTACAGACGTTAATTTACAAAAGCTCGAACCTAATTTCCTCCCTTCTGTATAAAGTCAAGTTTTCATTTTTTACCAATTACCCTCGCAATTAAAATATAAAGATCACAAAAAATCAGCATCCGAAGAGTTACAATTGAAAATCAGGACCAAACAATTCGCTCGTTAGGTCGAAGAAAAAAAAGGTGTGAATCGTTTCGAACAACAGGCACGTTTGCTGCACCGTTAGCGCGGAAGCTCGCTTAAAAACACGGCGAAACAGCGACGGGGCTTTAATAACGTAGGCGTCAATCGATAAACCACATCGAGAAAAGATGGAACGTCTGGCACGTCCATTTTCGTGAGCACCTTGAAATCTTAGACGTCCAAAAATTCAAGGATAATCTCCAGATTTTCAAGAGTCCGCATGATGCACCGGATGCTTGTCTCATGGCGACTGTTTCGCTGCTTAACCCCGGAAGAACGTTGCCGGATTAGCCACGCCACCTCTGGCTGTCGTTATCGCGTGAAATTAACAGGGAGATTAGACAATTAGCCGGAGTCTCTGCGAGATGGAGTTCAGTCGGCCCGAGTGCAGTCTCGTTGATTCCCCTTTGTGACGGAGTGCAATTAACGGTGTAATTATTGCACAAATTGGACGGTACGAAAGTTCTTCACTCCTTGTTTTTGCCGCGATGTATATACGTCAAGTGGGACACGCTTTTTGTCTGGAATAGTTCCTTGATTAGGTAGTTGAGGATTTTGGGGATTATTTGACGGCTTAGGTACTTTGCAATTTATGCGAGGGTTTAGGGATTTATGGCTCAGAGGCTTAGAGTTTTGGGATGTATGGTTTGGAAATCTGGGGATTTGGGGATGTAGAGAGGTAAGATCTAGGGATTTTGGGATATAGGAATTTGGAGGATTAAGGAGTTGGGGATCTAGGGATTTGGGGACCTAGGGATTTGGGGAGCTAGAGATTTGGGGAGCTAGAGATTTGGGGAGCTAGAGATTTGGGGATCTAGGGATTTTGGTGGGCTAAGGATTTGGTGAGCTAAGGAGTTGGGGATCTAGGGATTTGGGGAGCTAGAGATTTGGGGATCTAGAGATTTGGTGAGCTAAGGATTTGGTGAGCTAAGGAGTTGGGGATTTAGGGATTTGGGGAGCTAGAGATTTGGGGATGTAGGGATTTAGGCGCCAAGATATTTAGGGATGTAGGGATTTTTGTGCTTAGAGATTTGGGGATCTAGGGATTTGGTGAGCTGAGGATTCGGGGATCTAAGAATTTAGGGAGCTAAAGATTTGGGGATCTAGGGATTTAGGTGCCTAGAGATTTGAAGATATAAGAATTTTGGGATCTAAGGATTTGGGGACCTAGGGATTTGGTAAGCTAAAGATTTGATGATATAGGGATTTGTGGACCTACATATTTGGGGACCTAGGGATTTGAGAAGCTAAAGAAATATAGGGATTTAGGTGCTTTGAGATTTGGAATTTAATGACTTGGGGAATTAAGTATCAGGGATTTAAAAAGCCTGGATTTACGAATACTAGAATCTAAGAATTGGTGATCTAGGAACTGCTGATCTAGAGATTGAGATCTCAAGATTTTGGGACACAGAAATTGAAGAGCACAAGGATTTAGGGACACAAAGACCCATAGTGATTTGATTACATACAGGTATTGGAATATACCGTCCAATATTGTGATGTAGATATCTGGAGATATAGAGATCCCACGGTACCGACATACAACAATTCAAAGTATATAATCCAGAGATACATGGACAGATAGGATAAAGGAATGCATGAGGGTTTAGACATACGTTTCTAACGCACATATACCTTAAAATGTTCTATTCTAAATAGAACACAATTAATCTCCACTTCCATCATCAAAGAAACCGCGTTTCTATCTTCCTGGAAAGGGTTGACAAATTCAACGTGATGATATCGTCTCGTAGAATACATATGAAGGGGGAGTGGTAGGGGGTGGGGTGGTCTAGTAGTGGGGGAGTAGTCACGGTTGTAGCGCGAGGGGCGGCAGTCGAGGCTTGTCAGTCGACCGAGCAGTACACGCGTCGTTGCTCTCGGCTCGAACGCGTGATAAACAACGTGTACGAAAACGGGACGCGATGTACAAACACGAGAAAGTTAAATTCGAGTGACAGTATGTTTCGCGTGTAACAGATCACTCGAAGTTTTATCGTTGCGTGTTTTTTGTTTCTGTGTGTGTCCCGTACGAATCGGAACTCGGTTAATCGACCGTGCTACTGGAACGATCCCTTTCCCTTTCGACTAGAGAAAAAAGGACGTTTGTTCGTTCGAGGAGGATGAAAGAGAAAGAAAGCTCAGGGAGGGCAGCGCGGAAAGGGGCTGAGAGTTGCTTCCTTCGTAAAGGGTAAGTAGAACCACGTTTTATTATTAATTTATGTTCCTTGCCGTTCTTAGTGGAATACGTACATATTTTGTGTGCAAGAAGTCTTGTATAGACGCGGCAGATGTTTTATTGTAATGTTCGGCGAGAGATACGTAGTTTGAAAAGCAACATGGCGGCCGCACGAAATGCGCGGGATTTTGACAGTCGAAATAGGTTGGGTTAGGTTTAGCTAATGATACGTAACTTCTATGATTGCAATTCTTTAAATATTTTTATTAAATAATCTTTAGTATTAATGTATATATTTTTATACGATATAAATTATTCAGAGTACTTTACTGTTGCTATTATATCACTTCTGTTATTCAACTATGACATTATCATTATCGGAATTCTATTATAGTTCTATACTTCTATTATCGTACAATTTCACCGTTTAACACCATCTCTAACAGATACATTCGCTATTTAATTAACGACGTAATTGATCACGTATTGACAGACGAATTAATCGATTATGTATGAGCAATTAATTAACTCTGAGCCGATAGATTAATAGAATAACCAGATATTAACGGAGTAATCAATAACTATTTTATCAAAGGATTAAATAATTCCTTTATAATGCTCTTCACAAGTAAACTTTTTATTCTACCAAATTTAACTACACATGATTTATTTATTGTTAAAATTAATTCAGTTTAGTCGGAATAATATTTCATTCCACAATGTCTATCTGTTCTTTTTTGGTTAGCAGATTTATAATCGAGCGGAAACTTCATCGTAAACCGTGACAATCGTATAGTTTCCGGTGTAGTTTCCCGGAATATTTGGCGTTGCTCGCAGCATTATTTCAGCCAGTTGTTTCTTTCGAGAGACTGCAAGAGGCGAAACGATAATTTTATGCAAAATATCGAACTATTCGGGGACCAAAATTGGAAAAAGTTTGCGTTACAACTCGGTCCGGCCAATCGATACGAACGATTCCGATTGTGGAAGAGCTTTGAACAGTTATTCGTTCGACTAGTCGTCGAAATTAAATTTCGGTCGATTCAAATTTACTCGACAAACAATTTTATCGTTTTTTTTCTTTTCTTTTTTCACTCGTCGCTTTTCACCGCTCGAACTTCCCTGTTGTGTGCAATTTGATATTGCAACTGCGAAAGTGGTCAGGGGAAACGCGAGATTCAGCGAGAAAAGTATTATTATTGGCAGAAATTCCGATAACGGAAAACTGCTGAATTTTTCTGCAATCCTCAAAGTGTCCATTAAAGGTAATAAAAATCTGCGATGTTGCGTTACGCACTGGGAAAGGATTCTTCGAAACTACAATTTTTATTTCAGTTTGTTCAATCAAATTTTATAATAATTCCGATTTACACTGGTGATTTAATATCGTAACGTGTATATTATTATTATTGTTCCGAGGAATATTGTCTGTTTTTTTGTTAACATTCAGTAGTTTTGAATATGATTCAGTATTTAACCACTGCCTCACGCGACCGTAATCCTGAGGACTTCCGTTTCTCGAACGCGATAACACGAACGAGTTTCGCCTTGAGCGATAAACGACTTTTCCTTAGCGAAACTTGAGCTGTTTTAGAAAAAGGGAATGAGTTATGTACACCGGAACGCTTGATGAAGTTCGCAACATTTTATGAAGCTACGTGGAAATTACCGTAAATTCTCGCGGACGTAATTCGGATGCTACTCGCTTAGGGAATTTGAATTTTGGCGCGCAATCGCTTGAGAAAATGTAAAGATGTCTACTTGCAATTATTAATTTGGTCAAATGACTGTTAGGTTTCTTTTAAATAAAGATTTTCACATTTTAAGTAATGTAATTAATTAATACAACTCTTTTCCACTGAACGAATTTGAATTTTGGCGCGCAATTTTTGGAGGGAAAGAATGTAAAGATGTCTACTTGCAATTATGGATTTGATCAAACGATTGTTAGGTTTATTTTAAATAATTGTTCTGTTACTTTAAGTAATGTAATTAATTAATACAACTCTCTTCGACTGAGACAACGAATTTGAATTTTGGCGCGCAATTTTTGGAGGGAAAGACCGTAAAGATGTCGGCTTAACATTACGAATTAGATTAAAAGACTCTCAGGTTTATTTTAAATAATACTTCTGTCATTTAAAGTAATAATTGTAACATTTTAACTAATTAACTGTAAAAGTAAGTTTCATAAGTAAGGAAATATATTTACTCACTCTAAGTTCGATTTTTGGCGCGCATTTTGAAAAGAATATGGGCTTAATAATAAAATTACACAATTTATTTTATGTAATTCATTTTAAATAATGCTTCTAACATTTTAAGCAACAAAATAAATTAAAGAAGTCAATATATTTTCTGAAGATAATTGATTTCCATCAAAGTAAAGAATTAGTGAACACACAAATTATATTTCCCTCCTATTTAATTTTCAATCCGAAGATAAACGCGCACCAGGTGAAGAGTTAATATAATGGAAAAGTAATATCATAACGTGATTTATCATGTCCTCTTTATGGTTTTCATTTGTGTAACCGAAGGATTGTTTGCAGTTCCAGCGTCGTTAGAGATTGCTGACCCTTCAAAGGGAAAACTCATCCATTCCGAGAATCTTCTTTCGCCTTTCCCTCGGCTGCCTCTTACATGATGTATCGGTTCGTAATAAAACGAGTTACATATCGAGATGAGTTTGATCGATCGATATACCCAGAACGTTTTCCATCGGTGTTCCCTGAAACCGAATGAACGTTCAAATAATTGTTTTCTGCACCGCTCGAGGACGCGTATCTCTCTTCAAATTAACTTGAACATTTTTTTTCACCATTGAATTTAAGCTGAAGCTGACATTTTTTTATTCTCCATGCAATTTTTAATTTTCAGAGGTTTCGTGCTCTGAATTAAATTTCTAAATTTTGACACTCACTGGGAAATTTTTCTACTGTAGGACTTTTTTGACATTTCTCGTTACATTTTTCAACTTTGATATTTTAGAACTTGCACTTTGCAACTTTTTACCATTTCAAATTTCCCACTTTTCATAGGTGGTTTCCGATTTTTTAACTTTGGAACTCTCACTTCGCAACTTTTAATTTTTTCAAATTTTAACACAATTTTCAACTTCCAAATCTAAGAACACTCACCTTATAATTCTTCAAATTTTAGAATTCTCGTATTACAATTTTCGGTGATCAAATATCAGAGCTTCTGCAACATTGCACTTCCTCAAATTTCCGTATTACAATTTTCACATACATTACTTCAGTACTAAAACGTTAAATTAAATTTTGCAAAACCCAGATGTCAAAGCTTGAAAAAAGAAAGTAGCTAGTTTGTGACTGAACCTCTTCGTTTAGTGTCCATTCAATTACAAAAGGAGTTGCCTAAAATACTTGACCTTTGAGCTCTCGTATCCGGCACTTATTGAATCGTGGCTGACCTTGCACGGATGAAACTACTGGCCTCGAGGCGGAAGCGGTGCGAGGAGGGTTCTTCAGGGTCTCTATCCTTTAGTTTTCCCTTTTGTTACACGATGGGTGGTGGACAGTCACCTTTTGCCGCTCGCATGTTCTTACGTCACCAGACAGACTTCTGCCTTCTTGTTTTTGACATTTGCCACGGACAAATAAACGACCCAGTGACGTAATTCATTGATAATTGAACGGTATTCGATCGGATGCCCCCTATAGAGCATCATATACGTCTACAATTCTCTTTTTGCGTTTCCGTTTGATGTATTATTCCGTTCGATGGTACTCGTTCCTTTAATAATGGCGGCTTGCTGCGTCAGTTCTTTGTTCGACGAGAACAATGATGTTTTTGGCAATGTGGAACACTAGACGCTTTACACTATAACACGGTATATCCATTTGATACTGTAACAGTTTTTATCTTGGTCCTCTTATTTTTAATCCGGAGTGATATCAAATTTTAAGCCATGGAAGAGCACCTAATCGAAGCTTTAATTTGTATTAAAATGTTGTATACAGTATGTCGGAAAATTAATTTTTTTTTTATTTGAAATACATTCCTTTCGCATCAATACACTGCTGGAACAGCTCACATAACGTTAACATAGGTTTTTTTATATCGTTTTGCGATTCAAACAATCAATCAAACACCCTTGGTCACAGCTGCTTGCACTTTTCTTCCTACGAAGAAATTACGGCGCAGGATATTGCAGCGCGGGGAATTACGGTGCCTGGAATTATGACGCGTGGAGCTAACAACGCATGGAACTACAACGCGTGGACCTACGACATGTGGAATTGTGATGCGTGGATTTACGGTGCGTGGTATTACAGCGTGGGGAATCACAGCGCATGGAATTACGTGTGGAATTAATAACGCGTAGAACTACGTCGCGTGGAATTAATAACGCGAGGAATTACGACGCATGGAACTACGACACGTGGAACTACGACGCGTGGAATTACAACGCGTGGAATTACAACGCGTAGAATTATGACGCGTGGGATTAATAACGTGTGGAATTACGATGCGTGGAACTACGTTGCGTGGAATTATAACGCGTGGAATTGCAATGCGTAGAATTATGACACGTGGAACTATGACACATGGAATTAATAACGTGTGGAATTCCGACGCGTGGAATTACAACGCGTGGAATTACAACGCGTAGAATTATGACGCGTGGAATTACAACGCGTGGAATTACAACGAGTGGAACTACGACGCGTGGAATTACAACGCGTGGAATTACAACGAGTGGAACTACGACGCGTGGAATTACAACGCGTGGAATTACAACGAGTGGAACTACGACGCGTGGAATTACAACGCGTGGAATTACAACGCGTAGAATTATGACGCGTGGAATTAAATAACGTGTGGAATTACAACGCGTGGAACTACGACGCGTGGAATTACAACGCGTAGAATTATGACTCGTGGAATTACGACGCGTGGAATTACGACGCGTGGAACTACGACGCGTGGAATTACGTTGCGTGGAAGTCTCCCATAAAGTAAAGTATGCACTCAGGATAAGAGTT